CGACATGTTTTTTGCTTTAAAGCCAAGTGATTTCTTTAATCAGGGCATTAACAACCCGATTGTTAGATGGAAAAGTATCATCGATAAGAGACTATTTCATTTAATAAATGTTTTGTTTTGATATATAAGTTGTTCGGGGTTTTTACAACAAAAATGCGACATTAATTTCTTCACGACCTAATACATTCAAAGTGATTATATTTATTCATATAGATGTTAACACGAAATCGAACATTTTAAGATGCTGAAAAAATTTAAGTTAATGACATTTGCTCTAAAATACATTTTTATCTACATATTCCTTTCTCCCCAGAGGCTTAGTAGAAAGGGTGAAGGATTATAACGTTAAAAGTCGGGTTTCGATACCTATGATGGACAGAGCACAGAGAATCTATTGTATAGCTTTATACTCAAACTAAACAAAACTTAGTCTTTGTGTTTATAGTAAATAATTTAATAAAAAATAACCCGGAAACGTTTAAACTTAAAATACTAACTACTCTGTTTATATTGGCTAGGCGGCTAAGGCGCTCGACTCGCAATATAAGGGTTCGAATCCCCGTCACACCAAACATGCTCGTGAGGGCGTTATGATGTAACGGTAAATCTCACTATTCGCTCCTAAAAGAGTAGCCCAAGAGTTGACGGTGGGTGGTGATGACTATCTGCCTTCCCTCTAGTCTTACACTGCTAAATTAGGGACGGCTAGCGCAGATAGCCCTCGTGAAGCTTTGCGCGAAATTCATAACATAACAAATCATATTTGTTTGTGTTTTAGTACATCCGAGTTTACTCATGGGGCTCAATAAATTGGTAATATTCATTCTGCAACACACTAAGGTACCATCGTTATATATACATATCAAAGTTAATTAGTTGCCTTTGTTTTCATTTGTCTGAACTTGTCACTATCACTTACATAACTATAGTTTTATAGTGCAATGAGGTTTACCAATCGGATTATTTAACTCTTGTTTTTGGATCAGTTTTATTTAATGTGCAACATTTTCTAAAAATTGTGTATACTGAGACTTCAGAAAAATTTCCAACTTCATGAGCAAATTATTGGTTAAATGTTTACGATCTAGTCAATAGGAAATATTTATTTTAGTCAATTAATTAAAGAAATATCTGAAATAGTTGTATCCAACTTCCATAGATGAATCTAAATTAAGAAGAAAAAAAAGGTTATTAAAAACACATTAGAAGGACAATCATGTTGTTATTATAAAACCATATAAGGATAATGATGCGATGAATCTGAAGCATTGTGACTTTGTCGCTTGGATGAATGAAATTTTAATTGATATTAATGAATCTTAGGTCGGATATAACTGTAATTAGAAAAGTAAACTTATAAAAGTATAATTACTGTTAACATATAAAGAGTTAATTATGGCAATCTTTACCACAGAAATAAACCAATTCACACAGGGTTTGTCCTAAGTGCTTACCCATTTTCTCCTAAAATCTGAAACTTTTATACTGAATTAGTAGATTATTGATAGCTCTTCATATATCTTAGTTCATAAGGAGCGAACATTAAAAACATTTTTGAAGTTTCAAACTGTTCTAAAAGCCTGCAGTTTAACGAAGCTCTTCATTCGATAAAGTTTAACGTTACTCCATTGGATACAAATATCTTTTGAAATTATGTTTCAACATTTACTATAGAATAACTACACTGAGTGGTCACAAGTAAATAGACACCTAATTTTTCG